AGGGCACAGTTTTAAACTGTTTTTCAAAAAAAACAAGTGCAATGAGAGAAAAAGTTATTTTTCCTACACTGAGCAGTTAGGGTCTGAAACATACTGCCTGGAAGTATGGCAGACATAGGTTCAATTGAAACATTCAAGAGGATATTGAGTGATTATTTAAATAGAAACAGTGTTCAGAATTACAGAGAAAAGCGAGGAGTGTGGCACAAAATTAAATGCCAAGAGAGAAACAGGATGGGCCAAATGGTCTCCTTCTGCACTGTAACAATTCAGTTACATTGCTAAAAAGAAGTTGATGCTTTAATATTTTCAATAGCAAAACAATTGAGAACTGTCTTTCATTCTGTGCCCAGAAAGTATTGCTTCTTAAAACTTGAGTTTTTTCAATTCACATCTGTTTAAGTAAGTATCTTATATTCTGTAAGAGGTTATTAGAGGAATAACATCTCACAAAGGCCAAACAACTTGTTTCAAACATACATCATAGTTGTAAATGTCGACAATAAACCAGGATGCAATTTACACAACAAGAACATCTGGAAATCTGTTGCAATAGCAAAGTGAACTACTGAGACTGAAGGAAATTATTGAAGTATATGCAATCAAAATAGTACAGGAAGCCACTTGGCCATCAAGTCCATGCTTTATAGAGCAATTTAATCAGTCGCATTCTCTGCTCTACCACCTTTTAAGTTTATTGTGAAATCCTCCTCACAAAATTACATTACTTGAGCATCACGATTTCCTTATCTAGACAACTCCCGTAAGTATAAATATTCCGTGTCTGGTAATGTTAAGCTTGCAGTTGTCTCAAATTAACAGTCAAGTAAAAATTGGAGAATCAGAGGACATGTTGCAGAGAAACAGCAGACAGAAGGTTGCATGCACAATACTATTAGATTAGTTGGTGAACAGATCATTTTGAAAAATGAGGGAGCTGTATAGAAGGTCACAGAGAAACATCAAAAACTTCTCAACAATTTGTGCAGAAACAGTGGAAGTTGGCTGCACTTAAAACTTTGGGTGCTGTACCTAGAAAATCAGTTGTGTTAATTACTAGCAAGTCAGAGAATAGGGTTAGATCAGAAGCTTGGAGGTCAGCCATTGTGAAATATAAGGGTAGTTTAGAGAATCCTCAAGAAGCTGACAGGAAGCTCCACAGAAATATTAGTTCCTAGAAAAAGCACACAGAACATAAACAGCACGGATTCAGACAACGAACAACTCTATTTCAATTGCAAAACTGTTGATTTGGAAATGCAATGGTTGCTCTCACTGGTTGACCATAGTTGACACACATTTGATAGTATATGCACTGGAAGAAGATTTTCTCTGTGCAGAATGAAGAGAAAATCCATTAAAAATGGATTTGACAATTTGGTGGAATGGGCAGAGATATGGCAAATAGGCTTCAATGCAGTGAATTATGAGGGGATGCAAGCATTATGTTCCTGTTAGAGTGAAAGGCAAGGCTGGTAAGATTAGGGAACAATGGATGAATAAAGATATTGAAGCTCTAGTCAAGAATAAAAAAAAATCCAAAATAGATACAGACAACTGGGATCAACTGAATCTCTTGAAGAGTAATAAAGAGTGGTGGGGCATTCTTAAGAAGGAAATCAGGAAGGCAAATAAGAGCTATGAGATAGCATGAGATAGCCTCGGCAGATGGTTAAAGATAATTCTTGACAGCGAGAGCGCAACTGGAGAAAGAATAGGATCCATTATAGATCAATGAGGTTGTCTTTATGTTGAACCACCAGGAGATGGGAGAGATATTAAATTAATAGTTTGCATCAGTTTTTACTGTTAAGAAAGAAATGGAAGCTAGAGAACGCAGGGAAATAAATATTGATGTACTGAATATCGTTCACATTACAAAAGTAGTAGCGTTGGACGTCTTAGAAAACATAAAAGTAGATAAACCTCCAGGACCTAAACAAGTGTATCACAGGACATTGTAGAAAGTTAGGGAGGAAATTGCAGGGCCTCTAGCAGAAATATTTATATCATTTATAAACACAGGTGAAGGAGCAGAGGACTAGAGGGTGGCTAATGTTGTGTCTTTATTTAAGAAAGGCTGTAAGGAGAAACCTGGAAAGTATAGACCTAGTCTGACATCAGTGGTGGTTACGTTATTGGAGGTGATTGTGAAAGGTAGGATTAACATGCATTTGGGGAGGCAAGGATTGATTAGGGATAGTCAACATGGCTTTGTGCAAGGAAAATAGTGTCATACTTGATCGAATTTTTTAATGAAGTCACCAAAAAGGCTGGTGAGAGTAGAGTGATAGGCGTTGTTTACTTAGACTTTAGTAAAGCTTTTGTCACAGTTCCACATGGTAGACTAATCTGTAAAGTTAGATCACATTGGATTCAGTGTGAGCTTACAGAATTCTTTTTTATTCTTGACTAGAGCTTCAATATCTTTATTCATCCATTGTTCCCTAATTGGATACAAACTTGGCTTTATGGTAGGAGACAGAGGGTGGTGGTGGAGAGTTGCTTTTCAGATTGGAGGTCTGTGTCCAGTGGTATTCCTCAGGGTTCGGTGCTGGGACACTTTTGTTTGTCAGTTATATAAATGATTTGGATGAGAATACAGGAGACATGGTTAGTAAGTTTGCAGATGATGCCGAAATTGGTGGTGTAGCGGACAGTGAGGAAGATTATAAAGAGATTTTGATCAATTGAGTCAATGAGCTGAGGAATAGCAGATGGAGTTTAATTTGGGTAAATGTCAGGTATTGCATTTTGGTAATAAAAACAAGAACAGGATTTAAACAATTAATGGTAGGGCCCTAGGCAGTATTGTAGAGCAGAGAGACCTAAGGGCTCAGATACACTATTCTTTGAAATTTGCATCACAGTTAAATAGGGTGGTTAAGCAAACAGTTAGCACGCTTGCTTTCATTGCTCAGACCTTTTAGTTTAGCAGAAGGGACGTCATGTTGAGGTTGTGCAAGATGTTTGTGAAGCTGCTTCTGTAGTGCTGTGCGCGGTTCTGGTCGCCCCTGTACAGGAACAATATTATTAAACTAGAGAGCATTCAGAAAATGTTTACCAGGATGTTGCCAGGAATGGAGGGCTTGAGTTATAAAAATAGGCTGGAAAGACTGGTGCTTTTTTCACTGGAGCCTAGGAGGTTGAGGGGTGATCTTACAGAGGTTTATAAAGTCATGTGGGGTATAGAATGGCAAGGGTCTTTTCCCTAGGGTGGGGGATTTTAAAACGAGGGGGCATATTTTTAAGGTGAGAAGAGAAACATTTAAAAAGGAGAGTCGTTTGTGTGTGGAATGAACTGCCAGAGAAAGTGATGGATGCTGGTACAGTTATAACATTTAAAAGACATTTGGATAAGTTCATGAATAGGAAAGGTTTGGAGGGATATGGACCAAGCTCAGGCAAGTACCGCTAGATTAGTTTGGGAACAAGGTTGGCATGGAACGGTTGGACCGAAGGGTCTATTTCCTTGCTGTATGATTCTATAAGAATATAAAATAGGTGGTATAATCCAAAGGAGGGTGCAGGAGCAGAGGGACTTGGATCTCCTTGTGCATAGGTCTTTGAAGGTGGCAGGACTGGTGGAGACCAGCAGTAAATAAAGCATGCCTCAGCTGGAGTACTGTGTACAGTTGTGAGCACCATATTATCGGAAGGATGCAAACACATTGGATAGAGTGCTGAAATGACTTACAAGAAAGGTTTCAGGAGAAACTTCAGTTACAAGGACAGATCAAAAAGTTGGGACAATTCTCCTTGGAGAGAAGGCAGCTGAGAGAGTTGGTGAAGGTTTTCATAAATCCTGAGCAGTCTGGATACAGCTGATAGGGAGAAGCTATCCCCATAAAAGAAGAAGAAGGGAGCATAGATTTAAAGTGATGTGCAAAAGAAGCAAGGGTGATGTCAGAGAGAAAAAAAAGACTTTTGCATTCAGCTAATAGTTAAGGTATGAAATGCACTGCTTCAAAATGTGGTAGAGGCAGTTTCAATTGAGACATCCATGAAAACGTTGGATGTATGGATAGAAACAGTGCGCAAGGCTATGGGGAGAAAGCAGGAGACTGGAACTAGATAATAATACTCGTTTAAAGAGACCTTTCTGAGCTGTAACACTTCTGTGAAGGTATGAAATAAACTACTGATTTTGTTATACATTGAAGCAATCCATCATACGTATAGAAACATCTCTCAGGACAGGGATTCATACATAATTTCGTCTAACTGAAATGAAATGTTGTGACATTAGTGAAATGGATTGGTTTTTTTTTTAATAAGAACGATTTCCAGATCTAACCGAGCGCTCAACAATGGCGTTGTTTAAACCGGTACTGACTGCATTACATACAAACTCCCAGTGAACGTGGTTTCCAATAACGTTACAATCACCCTCTTCCAAAAATTGACCGAAATTACTGGATTTACTTTAGTCAAATAGTAAATATTCAAACAAAAGATAATGGTAGCCTTCTTTCCTAATTTTTCAGCAAATTAAATCTCAAATAAACTCCTGAGTCAAACTCCACAGAATTTTAAGCATTTATGTTCGCCTTTCAGAGGAAAGCTTATTTTTGTTTGAAAAACTTGGATTTGCACTAAGCAATGCATTTGAACGATGCAAAAAGTCAAATGCATCTTAAAGTAAGTGTAAACCGTCCAATGTGCTCACATATTGTTCAGTACTGTAACATTTTACTCAAACTGAGGGTTTCACTGGCCAACTATTTGATAGAGAAATGGATCGATAAAAAAAAACGTAATAGTAACAGGATTCAGACGACACGTGGTTTTGAAGATAACTGAAGGTGCTGCAAAACATCTGAAAACTCTGCAAAGTTCCAGCGCCGTGAAGTTTATTGCATTGAAAAGTCTCACGCTTTATTCAGTTAAATAGACGCCAGAAATGATGCATTAGGCAGAAAGGATTATAAAAATAAATAAAGTTTTACAACAAGCTCCAATTGACCGGAAAATCGCACCGTCTAAAATCCAACCTTTACCTTGAAAGTAAATCCCAGACTGGATCTGTAGTATCCTCGGAAGAGTCAAGGGATCGAGCGAGTCGATGAAACTCTCGAGAGTTTGCGCCATTGCATTGAAATTTCCTCACGAAATTGCAGAGCATTAGCGTCGAAGACTGCAGTCCATGTTTCAAGGTGCTCCTGGTCAGTCAGTCTCCCTGTCCAGTGGAAGACCGGTAAATATCACTGCCCACTATATACAGGTCAGTCCCTCTGTCCAGTTTAAGACAGATCAATCTCCCTGTGTAGTGGAAGGCAGGTCAGTGTTCCCAGACAGTGCAAGGTTAGACTGCAGTTCCTTGTCCCATCCTACTCCCACTCACGGTCTGAGAATAGTTTCACAAAATGCTCCAGCATCAGAGGTTGCTTTCCAAATCTCAACGAATGAGTCAGTTCATCACCACGACACCCGAATGTGCAAAATGCAGAACAATAGTGGGCGGCAACCCCGGAAACACAATAGGCAAACTCGCATATTGTCAACATTTGCAGCCTTCCTCAAAAGGTTGTTTTTTTTCACACTCTTAAAGAGATAGGTATCCCAGTGTGACCGTAACATTTGCGTTCACACTCAGACTTGTTTAGCTTTTATGTTACTTGTTGATTCTAAGGAGTGGTTGGCGATTTCCAAACAGAAATTAAAGACTGATTTTTCTAAAATAAAATCAGAAATGACAGGAGTCTTCATTTAAAATGTAATCGGGAAACTTAGAAAAGAGTTCCACGTGTGCTGACATCTCCCACTATATGTCAAAACACTTCGGACCAAGATGTTGGGTGCGTAGACTTCAAAGTAATAACTGTGAGTAAGATATGCTTAATGGAAATTCAGGAGGAGTTTGACAATTTGAATTGCAAGTGAGGTGGGGGTTGTGGTTTCACTTTTGTGCAAACACAGATCCCACGCGGTTTCATCCATCGATGCTTCCGCAAATGGTCTCCTTCCTGCCAGAGCCTGCGGATTAGACAAAGCATATGCATGGTGCAGGACGGCAGAAGTGTTTTGATGTACCTCAGCTAAAAATGCAAATACAACGTGGCATTCCTAAAACAACAACTCAATTATGGGAAAGAGAATAACACAGGGTGGAGCTGGACGAACACAGCAGCATCAGAGAAGCGGAGGACAAAAGTCTTTTCTACTCCTCTGATGCTGCCTGGCCTGCTGTGTTCCTCCAGCTCCACACTTTTATCTCTGACTCCAGCATCTGCAGTTCTTACTATCTCTGAGTTAGTTATGGGAAATGTGTGACTTATGCATCCAACAGATAGCTATCTGGAAAGGCAGACTGATATCTAAATATGTTATCTCTTCGGAATGCACTACTGTTGCCCCTTTGCCACCCTCCCTTGCCTCACAAAATCTTCAAGGCTCATTCGATTTTCCTGGGATCAACTCAAAATGTACATCATCCATCTCCTGAATTTATTTCAATTTCTCTAAAGTGTTTTGGCTAGTCAACAAGATACAACATTTTATAGGGGTCTTTCCATTGAGCATTAGCTAAGCAACTCTCTAACTTAATCTTTATAGAGCTAATGACTTTGGATTCCATACCTGACACTGTGTGTTAGCTGCTTCTCTCAATCAGCCTTATGGACAAACTGAATTCACAGAGATAAACTCAAAGACTAAGAATTTCACTAAACTCCACCCATCTGCATGGCATAACGACACACACATCATACCCAGGTAAAAATGCAAGTTACCTACCTTTCACTTCCAAGATTTCTCTGAGGAAACCACGCAGATAACTTATGTTTACTGTAATAACTGCAAATGTTATGCCTCAAGTTATTTTCATCAGTGAGTGCACCTGTTTTATGATTTTATCTTGCTAGCTGTTAATCTCTAAATTAACATGACTCCATTTTAAGTGTTGAACTCCAAGCTTGTTTAAATTGCATTTATTTCAGTGTTATTACAAAATATCAGGATTTTTCATTTATTTTACATCTGAACTAGAAATTACATTCTAATGCGCATCAACCATAAACTAGATATTCAACACATAACTGTGTACACTGTGGACCACCTCTTGCATTGACTTTAGAAAGGGTAATGCTCATGCCCAGTGGTACGCAGCATTAGCTTACAATGTTAATTTGTTGAGAAGAGAAATTGTTGTACATCCCTGTACATCACTCAGTTGTTAATCTCTCTTAATATAGTAGGGATTTTGCAGAGTTTAACAGATTAGGAAAGAGGTTTTTAAAAAATACAATTTAACGAGGATTTGGGAAATTGAGGGGTCTGGAAAAAGGCTATCTGGCATGAAAGAAAACAACTTAAAAGTGAGGAAAGAGGATAAAAGGGGGTAATCAAAATGGGTTTACTTTATGTACAAATGAATGGAGAATGTATTCAGTTGGTTAAAACAGCAAACAGATATCACTGAAACTAAATAATTCTAAATGGATCAATATTTCCATTTTGTGGGCACAGATCCAAAGGCCTACCTGCAGTGACCAATGACAGACTGACATCACAAACTACCAAATGAAGCAATAATGAGGAGGATAAATCTGGACCATCAAAATGAAACAACTACCAAAACAAACACAGAAAAGTTCTGGAGAAACTCAGCAGGTTTTGCAGCATCTGTAGAGAGGGAAACATAGTTGACCCTTCAAGTGCAATATGACTCTTCTTTGGAACTAAAAAGTATTGGCAAATGATTTTTCAATCCCTATGACAAAGGTGGAGGAGGATCAAGGGGGTGGTGCAGAGGCCTAGTACAAAAGACAAAGAATTTTTCAATGGTTGTGACAGAGAAAAAGAAACCAAATGGATGTCAAGAAAACTTTTGTGCTCACAAAGGAAGGTAGCAGAGGAATTCAATAGGCAATTTTAGGAATTAGATGTTATGGAACAAATTGATATGTTTGTCTCAAATCCATTCCTTCAAGTAAACATCAGTGGATTGGCTACCAAATTCCATGGTGTTTGATTTACAGCAGTAGAGTTGATATGGAGATAATTACTATGAGAAATGATATTCAGATGAAAGTCAGGACAAGGGACAGTGATTTTTGGTGACTTGTAAACAGGAAAAAAATACCCATACCTATCATCCTGTGCTTTTAAAGTAAAGGTTTACATTGACTCCACATACCCTTGTTAGCTAGTATTCTCCTAAATGAAGATAATCAAGTCCAAGCATTGCACCCCCCCTTTACAGATAACCATTTGATGCACCATATATGACAAGTAATATCAAAGTACAACCCAGATTCAAGGCACTGGTAGATATTGTGCAGTCAGAGGACAAAGAGACTTGTTGAGTAGAGGCCAAAATTATAAACAGTTGGTTTTAGACTTATACAGCACTGAAAGAATTGTTTGTTCTATATTTTCACTGATTTTGAATTAGCAAAGTTCCTAAAATTTTAGATTATCTCAATTGATTGGAAGTCAGCCAACGTATTCAAAAAAATTTGGGAGGAAGTATGGGTATGTTAACTTGATATCAGTATTAGAGAAATGCTAAAATCTAAGATAATGAGGCATTTAAAAAGTGATGATTAGGTGCAGTCAACGCAAATCTATGGAAGAGAAGTAGTGATTGACACATCTGCAAAGAAAGTATGAGGCTGTGACTAGCAAGATGGATAAGGGAGAATCAGCAGATACTGAATGTTTGATATTCAGCAGTTCAGTCAGATGGTGATAACTTGTTATCTCATAAAATTAGGGGATTATCAGATCCGGGATAGTACTTTAGGAAAGGCTGAGAATTAGTTAAGAGAAAACAGAGTAGGAACAAACGGGTCACTTGTCAGTTGACAGACTGTAACTACCTGGGTAGCACAAGGATCAGTGTTTGCACTGGACCCATTTGCAATCTATATCAATTACTCAACTGGGGGATTGAATGTCATGTATCCAAGTTTGCTGATATTAAAGTGTTCGGTGGAAATGTAACCTGTGAGAAAGACTCACTAAAGGTTGCAATATGGACAAATTAAATGAGCGGGCAAAACTAGGAGTGGTAAATGAAGTGTCATGTGGAGAAATGTGAAATTAATTACTTTGATCTGAAGAATTGAATTTCTTTAAATGAAAAGAGACTGGCAGACGATGATACTTAAAGGAACCCAGTGTCCTTATACACAACGTTGTATGCACTTACAGTACACCAAGCAGTTAAGGAAATAAATAGTCAGTATTCATGACAAAGGAATGGAATTATGAGTGAGCAAATCTTTTTGCAGTTATGCAGGGCCTTACTGAGAAAAAAATCTGTACAGTTTTTGCCTCCTTACGTTAGGAAGAACATACTTACCCGAGGGGGAATGTAAAAGTTCAATAGACTGAATAGTGGGATGAGGAATTGTTTATTCACAGAGATTGGGTAAAGTAGGCCTATATTCCCTGTAATTTAGAAGGATAAGAGGGAGCGCAATTGAAACATAAAATACTTACCAGGTTTGACTGGGTAGATATTGGAAAGAGGTTTATTCCCCCCAGTTGGAATAAGGATTCAGTTATTTAGGTCTGCAATTAGGAGACTGGCCTTCACTCAAACTATTCTGATCTTTTGGAATTCTATAGTCTAGAGATCTATAAATGCTCAGCCTTTGAATATATTCAAGTCACAGATTGCTAGGTTTCTGGATACTACCCACTGACATGGGGAGATTGTGGAAAGTTAACTAAAATCAGCCATGATCTTATTAAGCAGAGGAGCAATTTTCTAACCACTAAGATATCCTTTTCCTGTTCCTATGTTTTATATCCTGAGATATAGACTGTGACTGACTTCATCTTATCTGGAAATCTTTCTTTCAAAACCTCCAAACTCAGGGCTTCTCAAGTTCACAAAGCTGGCTTCTACCTCATTCACTCGATGCATAGCCTGTTGTTGGCCCACAGAACCAATTTCTTCCAATTCCATGTCTTTAATTTCATCCCTTGTCAGATCTTCCCCTACCTATCTTGACTGCTCAGTTGCCCTTTATCTTTTAACAGTTTTCTGGATCTCCATCTCCTTTGCATAATGGGTATTCAATCTCTCTACACCTCTATCCCCCTACCCAGTCAGTTTGAGAAATCTCTGCTTCTTCCTTGAACACATAATACTACCCTCCTCTACCAAGCTGAACTTTGTCTCACATTATGCGACTTCTCCTTTGATTGCACACACATATTACAAATACAAGTTGTTGCTTTGGGAACCCAAACAGGTCCGAACTACTCCTGTCTTGTGTCAAACATGTGGAACTTTGCTTCTTTCAACCCTATCCAAGTCTTCTTTGTCACTTCTTTTTATAATTCTCAGATGATTGTTTCTTATTCTCCCCTGAACAGAAATTTTTCTCAGCTTGCTGTCTAATTTCTACCCTTTTCTCAATCCAACCCTCAACTTATATGCCTTCATTTCTGTGTATAA